TTTTTTTTTTTTTTTGGTACCGGGGATCGAACTAGGGTCCTTGAGCTTGCACAGCAAGCGGCGAAACCACTGAGCTAAATCCCTGGCCCTCTCTTTCTTTCTTTTTTTTTTTTTTTAAGAGAGGGTCTCACTATGTAGTTGGCCTAAACTTACTATGTAGCCCAGGCTGGCCTGGAACTAGCAGTGATCCTCCTGCTTCAGCCCCCTCAGCTTCCCTGCTCAACTGGGATGACAAGTGTTCACCACCATGCCCGGCACTGTCCAATTCTTTGAGTGGGACAAGAGCCTTGAACCACTGGACACCACACCATCTGACAACAGGGGGACTACAAGTTTTGAGTCCCACCTGGGTAACTTAGCAAGACTTTGTCTCAAAATAAATAATAATAATAAGCATTTGGGATGTAGCTCAGTGCAAGACTCTGGGTTCAATCTCCAGTACCGCAAAATAAACAAATAAATAAAATGTTAAAAAAGCAATTATGATTCCTAAACGTTCACTTATATTGTTGCCAATAAAATGCTGCTTAAGTGTATATGTACTACTGGAACTTTATAAAACCAAAATACACTCACATGTAAACACCAAAAATCTAAAGAAAAAGGATTTTTTATCACAAATTTAATGTGGAAGTGTTTTGCCAAAAATTAAAGCAGAAAGATCAAATATGGGCTTACTGCCACCGAGATACACGCTATGAAAAAGTTATTTTGCATTCATCCTTTTCCTCCCTTTCCCCTCCCCTCTCTCCACCCATCCCTCCAGAGCTTTGTTACCACTGGCTTTTAAATCGCACGCAAATGCCTCCTCCTAGTTGCTAGGGCAGATGCTATAAATAAAAGCAGCCAAAGTATCCGATTGATAGTAAACAGGCCTAGGAGATAATGAGTCTCTGGTAATTAGGGTTCGCTGTCTCCCCTGTGGCGCCCTCGGGGCTCTGCGCAGCATCCAGACAGTGGCCCGGAGTCTGCGGGCCACGGTCGCGGCGAGGGTGGGGTCTCCCAGCCTGGGAAGCCGAGCCCGGGGGCGTCTGCCCGCCCTCCACGCCCCTCCGCCCCACCAACCCCCCGCGCCCAGGGCGGAGCCCCCGGAAGCGGCAACCGCCGTGGTAACGGACGCGACCGGCACTGAGCAGCAGGTGGACACGGGCGCGGGAGGACCCACAGGTCGCGGTTGCACCCACGCCCTCGGTCCACTCCAAAGCCTCATCCGCTGCACCCCGTCTCTGAACTCAACATCACCCCCTCAGCTCCCCGACCCGTTCGACCTTTCCAGTCTCCAGAGAAAGGGGTGCGGCCCAGAAACACTCACCTTGGGCAAAGCAGCAAGGCCGCGCGCGCGCAAAAGGCAGGGGGAAGGTGGCCTGCAGCTCACACACCCGTCCTGCCAGGTGGTTTGCGGGAGTAGCACCTCAGGTGTCCGACGCTCGTTCCCCGGGTCTGCCCGCACGACCGCGGCCAGAGTAACTGCTAAGGGCGCATGCGCAACCCGCAACAGGCGAGGAGGAGTCTGCAGCGGAAGACTTGTGAGGCGAGCACCTGCGGTGCCCGGCACAACGGCCTCAGACGCGCCCGCGCGGCCACGCCCCAGCCACGCCCCGACTCCCGGCCACGCCCCAGCCCCTCCACGCGCTAGAGGCACGTGCCTGCAGGTCTCGCGTGGGCTAAGCGGACAGGAGTTTTTCTTGGTCCGAAGACTTTGTCCTCTGATCTGCCCTCTCTTAATACACAACGGTTCTACCTATTGCTCCATAATCGGGTTCTGAATTTTGTTCGAATCCTATTTTTGAACTGCCCTTCGTTTCTTGTAGAGTTATATGTTTTAGCAGGTGAGCCATCCTTGTGATCAACAGAGACGCTATTTCATATGTGTTTACTGTGTTAACATGATAAATATATATGAAAATATTTTATTTTCGATAGTATTTAATAATTTTTGCAGACACATCTCCTCATGCTTAATGTAATGCTGTCTTTCAACCCTAGTTGGTATCTGCCTTCCCTTCTGTATGCCTCTATTTGCAATTATAAGCAATCTGTGCGAAGGCACTTTGAGATTATGTGAAAATATCCCGTTCTTCAAAATCTACTCTTTTCAGAGACTATGTAAAGGTGCAAATTTCCAATGATGAATGTCATTATATTGTATACCTAAAATGTACCAATTATTAGAATGAATAATCGATAATGTAAAATAG